ACCTTGGTGCTGCCGGCCTGGGCTTAGACAGGCTCTACCCTGGGCGGGACTAAGTGAGCAAAAGACAGAGCTAATGGACAAGCAAGAAGTGGTGGCTGCCTGGCGTTTAATCCCAGCACTTGGAAGGCAGAGGCAGGCAGATCTCTGTGAGTTCGAGGCCAGTCTGGTCTACAGAGCGAGTTCCAGGACAGCCTCCAAAACAATACAGAGAAACCCTGTCTCGAAAAACCAAAAAAAAAAAAAAAAAAGAAAAGAAAAGAAAGAAAAGAAATGGTGGTTTTCACAGCAGGGTGTCCGTGTCTCAGTGGTTAATGATTCCAAAGAAAATAAGTGACAGACAAGCTGTGCGCAGCATCGGACTCACCATAGGAGATAAAGCTGTCAGCGGAAAAGAAACACCAGAAAACACAAAGGGGTCATCTCTAAAAAGAAACATTGAAAATGATGCCAAAGGAACATCCATTCTATAGACCTAAGGGGGGAAATGAGAAGGAAAATATACAAAGAAATACAGAATAACAACCAACCAATTTGCCAAGTACAGCACTAACTAGTTCTTAAGAGGCTCTGAGGAAGAAAAGAATTAAGCAGGAATGTCGCTTGGAATGATTTCTACAACATAAACATAGAGTTGATTCACACTCCTGAGACCAGAGATGGAGTTAGCTTTTGGAGAGAGTGAGAACTTTCCAGATATGTCATGTGGAAGACCAGGAAGCGAGGCAGCAAGGAGAGTTTGGGGTGGAGAGGCACGTTCCAATCCTAACGACACTGAAATAGGACAAAAAAAAAAAACATGAACTAGGCTCCCTTAGTCTGCAAGTGTGTCCTGCTGACACACAGGAACATGCCAGTCGGGGACAGGAAAGGTGTGTCTGGGCAGAGAAAGGTGTGGCAGGGTGGGGAAATGGCTCCCAGGTAAAGGTTCTTGCCACACAAGCCTGGCTACCTGACTTCATTCCAAGGTGGAAGGAGAGAACCAACCCCACTGAAGTGGTCGTCTGACCTCCATACTCGCCACGCACATGCAAACATGTCTGAGAAGTGTGACTGCATGGCTGAGGGAAGTTCATTTTACTGCTAATGAGCTCCGTGCTCTATGCGATTAACTTCCATTAGGTGTGAGTCACCACAGTCAAGGAACCCTGAAAACTGGAATCGTGAATGAATCACATGGGTGCCAAGTTCTTTTGCCCTCTCTGCTCTTGACTTGGATTCCTGCGAGGTGCTGCTCACGTGTGAGCTGGAATCCCCTGGCAGCCTAATACCCCCTCTACAGCTCTGGGAAAAGATGAGAAGGAGCTGTTAGAGGGTAGACTCTGCCTTTGTCCCTGTGCCATTCCCTGGCAGACAATCTGCATTTCCATTCATGGTGTAGGGGGGGATCTTGTCCGGTAAATTTTTTTTGTTTTGATCAAGACATTGAAACATGTATGGGCATCCATCCTATGTTTGAGTCATGATGGTTGTCTTTGTTGGATCTACAGCTTGCGTGTGGCTATCAGTTAGGTGTGGGCTCTGAAGAAGCTGCCCATTGATCCTCTCTCTAGCCTGCTGTCTGAAGACTGGACAGGTCTTGAGAAGCAACACTGCCATCTACTGGTGCTTTTCTGCAGACACTGGATCTCTGTTTAGGGACTGATGTTTTTTCCTTGTGGTTGTTACTAGGTTGTTTGGCTGTGCTAGTGAAGGCAGTACTCCCAGCATGCTAAGCAAGCACTCTACCACTGAACAACATTCCCATCGCTCAGTCATGAACTGTAGACACATAGTCTGGCTCTCCCCTCCCCCCACCCTTGCAAGTCCTTCCCTTCTCTCCTACCCATTAAAGCTTGTAAGTTACCCTAGGAAGCAGTAGGCCTTGTATATTACCAGCTCTTGGCAACCATGGCCTCAGGTTCCTTTGCTCAGTCTCAATAGCCTGCAAAAGGGTTTACCGCCCTCCCCTGGCTTGGCTGTGCAGCCTGAAGGCTGTAAGGTGCACTTCGCATGTATGTATATATGGCCCCCGGAGAAACACAGACCATCTGGCGTTAGCACAGAGGAGCTCCTCCTGCAAGGCACAGAAGTACAGTCACAGAAATGCTTCAGAAACAGGGAAGTTCCCTGGTCATCTAAACTAGGACTCTGTAAAGCAGTGGTTCTCAACCTGTGGGTCACGACCCCTTTAAGGTCGCATACCAGGTATTTACATTATGACTCATAATGGTAGCAAAATTACAGTTATGAAGTAGCAGTGAAAATAGTTTTATGGCAGGGAGTCACCACAACATAAGGAACTGTATTAAAAGAAAGTTGAGAACCACTGCTATGAAGAACCCATCAGTAAGATTGGGCTGTAATCTGGGAATGAGAAAAAAAAACTGAAATCAAATGTCAGGACACAACTGTGCCTCAATGATACAGAATACAGTGCTCAAATATTTATTGCGGAGGATTCTAATTCCGACAGCAGGGCACTCCAAAGATCAGAGGCCCAGGGCACTGCCTCACTGCAGCCAAGCATGGACACGTGCCAAAATTAAGTATGCCCAATGTTACAAGGTCTGAAGGAATGTGGGGTTCCTGCTAGGAGTCTGGATTCAGGTTCAGCACAGCGTCTGCAGAGAGTGTTTTAGAGACTTCTTTTCACAATCACAACAGGAGGCTGTCCCTGTTAAAATACACACCCTTGGATCCCGACCCCAGCCTACTCAGTTATAATCTGTGGTTGAGGCTTGGTGGAAGGAGGCTCAGCCCAGGACTCTGCTCTTTGTTTCATGAGCTTCCGAGGAGATTTTCAGGCCTATGATCTGGATATCTTGGGGCCTACACTTGTTGGCTGGCATATGAGCTGGTGATGGCTCATGTACATACTGTTCACACCCTGTTGTGAGCTATTACCTCCCATAACAACCTTCACTGATTCTGGGAAGACAGCACCAGGAAAGTAGGGAAGAGGCTGTGTGCTCATTTAGTGGGGCCATGACGTTAAGTAGCGAAAATGAGCCAGTGACCATGACATGTTTTTCTGTCTCTTTCCCTGTCTGCCTCTGCCCTACAGACTCCCCTGCTCTTTAGATAGGGGTGATGTCAACTGTCTGCCAGACCTGGTCTGATAGACGTGTGTGTGTGTGTGTGTGTGTGTGTGTGTGTGTGTGTGTGTGTGTGTGTGAGAGAGAGAGAGAGAGGGGGGGAGGGAAGAGGGAGAAGGAGAGACAGAGGCAGTAGAAGCACATGAATTTAATCCCAACACTTGGGAGTTAGAGTCGGGGGGATCTCTGTAAGTTCCAGGCCAACCTGGTCTACAGAGTGAGTTCCAAGACAGCTAGGGCTACACACAGAGGAACCCTATCTTTAAAAATCAGAGGGAGGGAGAGAGGGGGAGAGAGAGAGAGAGAGAGAGGGAGAGAGAGAGAGAGAGAGAGAGAGAGAGAGAGAGAGAGAGAGAGAGAGCCTCCTTATCTATGTATCAGGCATCAGATATCTTCATTATTCTTCACCTAATTTTCTGAGACAGGGCCTCTTACTGGACTTAGGTTTACCAGTTGACTAGACCAGCTGGCCAGCAAGCCCCCAGGATCCTGCCTCTTAGCTCTAGGATTACACGAATGTATCTCCACAGCTGGCTTCTTACATGGACATCCAAACTCAGGTCCTCACGCTTGTGTGGCAAGCGCCACTGAGCTGTCTCCTGAGGCCCAGTGTTCTAACAGTCAAGTCCCTTAGAAGCTAAGACTGCTCTGGTCACATGGTTAACCCCTACTCACTGTGATGACCCCTGTCCATCCTCCAGCATCAGTGCCTCCTAGAATACATAGGAACTGCAAAGACATGTTGGTATAACTGCTGCTGCAGACAGTTCAGGTCCCTTGATTGGAGCTTCATAGACTGAAGCTGAACTCCCCAGGGACAGTGTGGGAATTCCCTCTGATCGGGCATTTGGGATGAACTTTGGAGGACAACAGGCTGGCAGGCTGGGCCTCTATCCCATCCCTCCATTCTCTCTGTCTTTCTCACTGACACTAAATGCAGCTACTGCTCCAAGTCGGAGGCTCTGGGCTCCATTCTATGAAGCACAGTACAAACATAAATGATTTTCATGGATTTGAGGCCAGAGGGAAGGGAGGAGCGGATACAAACCCCTATGTGAAAAGTGAGCCTCCTCAGGGTGCGGCTAGTAGGGCCTGTGCCGACCCCTCCAGGATCTCTCCCCTGTTCTCTTCCTCTGCACCCCAACCCTGCAGAAGGGAAACAGGTCATTTAAGCGCGGAGTTCAGTACTGTGTGCTTCTAAATAAGACACGGCTCCTCTTCTCCCTTAACCATCCCCCTTCCTGGCCCCCAGGGGCTGGGCAAATGCGTGTGAGTGAAGCTCCATCCTTTCTTGTGTTATTGTAGCCTGTTTTAGGTGTATGACTCCAGGAGGTGTGAAGATGAAGGCTGCTGTGTGGGTTAGAAAGAAGGGAGGTCTTACATTATTCCCAAACATCACTTATGATCCAGTGACGGTGTGTTGCACACAAAGCCAGCACCTCCGAGTCTGAGGGATGTCAGTGAGGCCCAGCATGCAGTATGGAGTAGAGTAACCCTAACCCTAACCCTAACCCTAACCCTAAGAGCCCTTGGAAGGAAGAACAGGCACACAGGGAAGGGGTTTGAAGGCGCAGTTGACAGGAAGCTTGACAAAGAAGTAATGGAAGGAACTCTTGTGGGGAAGGAGTTAAAATGCAAAGTCCTGGCTCTGGGCAGGCTCCAGGGCGGCTTCAGCTGAGCTGTCTGAGTGCCCAGTAGCTCTATGCTAATACCCTTTTTTTTTCCCTTTTCTTTTTCCTTCCCGTTTGTTCCCAACATTTTCCCACCTTTTGTCGTTTTCCACCCTCTCCTATCTCTCCTCCTTTTCTTTCTCCTCCTCTCCGCTCTCTCCCATTCTTTGTGGCCTTCCCTCTTGCCCACCCCCCCCCCTCTCTCTCCACACCCACACCCTCACATTTTACCCCTTTCCACCACCGCCCACCAAAGCTCTCAGGTGGATGTGAGCTGACCGTGGTCCTTCAGGACTTCAACGCAGGCCACAGCAGTGAGCTGAGCATCCAGGTGGGACAGACTGTGGAGCTTCTGGAGCGACCGAGTGAGAGGCCCGGCTGGTGTCTGGTCCGTACCACAGAGCGAAGCCCCCCCCAGGAAGGCCTGGTCCCCAGCAGCACCCTGTGCATCTCACACTCTCGCAGCAGCGTGGAGATGGACTGCTTCTTCCCCTTGGTGAAAGGTAGGATGGATCTGAGGGAAGAGTGGTGAGCTCAGGCCAAGTGCCTTAGAACTGGCCTCAGAGTCCACTTTGACTGAGCTATATTTCTCTGAGATACGGAAATGGGGGGGGCGGGATATGCTAAAAGCTTGAAGAGAAAGCTAAGTGTTTCTGTGTGGCTTAGAGAAAGACATCCAACCCTTCTGAGTCCGTCTGGTCTTAAAAAACAAAGGTTGAGCTGCTGATCACTAAACTCTCTCCCGGCTTTCCCTCTGCTCCATACTACACCTACCCTCTGCCGCATACTACACCCTGACAGGAGGACCGAGCAACCCCAGCAACCAGCCACAGTGAAGTGGGACTTGGCCGTCCCTCTGCCCACTCAAGGTTCAAGATCCCCCTGTCACTTTTTTCCTTTGATACACTTAATGAATATATTAGAATGGCTTACAGGCTGTGGTCCAGCTAATCTAACAATGGCTGGCTATCAACAAAATATCCAAGAATCCAGTAGTTGTTCAGTCCGCAAGGCTGGATGTCTCAGCTGGTCTTCTGTGGACACTGGAGTCCTGAAGTAGGAGGCTCTAATACCAGTGAAGGAATGGACTTACCAGCAAGGCGGGAGCAAGCAGGCAAAGAGTGGACCTTCCTTCTTCCATGTCCTTATGTAGGGTTCCCGCAGAAGGCATGGCCCTGGGTAAAGGTTGGTTTTCCCATCTCGAAAGATCTGGATTACAGGTGTCTTCCTGCCTCGGAGATCCAGATTAGAAGTGGGTCTTCCCACTTCAAATTAAGCAAATAGTCTGTCACAGCTGTGCCCTCCATTTTGTTAATTCCAGATGTAGTCAAGTTGACAACCAACAAGAGCCTCCATGCATCCATTATCCAGGCCTTGGTCTGATTTCTGTATACTCTGTGTTCCCTCCATGTGCCTTTTATTTACGGGTGCCAGGGAGGCCAAATGCAGTGGCTCTCCAAGAGTTGTCTTCAGCGGACAGCTTCTCTGTGCCCTGGAAACAGGTTAGCAGTGCAGACAGATGCTCAGGCCCGTCCACCTGCTCAGCAGGTGACCACACCAGCTTGCTCTCCAGGTGGCTGATACACAGTGGAGTCTGAGAACACAGGCTTCCAAAGTCAGTGTGGCCTTGAACTCAGGCATTTTATGTTAAGAAAACTGAAGCCCTGAGACTAACAGAGAACCAAGTCTTAGTCTGGAGCTGAGTTGTATAAATGGTTAGATATTAGCATAGGTCAGATATTAACTGTATAAATGGTCAGAGATTAGCATAGGGACACCATCAATTCATGAGACCCAGGGTGGGGCTGCCTGGTAGCTAATAACTTTAAATGTTTGGAAGCATGCAAGTTTAGGAATACCTTCTGAGCATGCTACCCACCATGACTTGCTGCTTCTCAACACTAGATGGCGGTAGTGGACTGCGATGTTTGGACTGCCCAGCGCTCCATCCAGCCTCAGGGGAGTTTCCATCCATCCTAACGCAAACTAAAACCTAGATTCCTCTCTCTCACACTGTACCTTCACCCTTGGTTTAGTTTCCTCCTTTTTTCCTCTGAGGACCTGGGAGTGACAGCCAGGAAGCTGTGTGGGATTTGTAATTGCAGCTTTCCAGGGCTTTGAAAAGCCAACACCCACACCCCTCTGAAATTCTTGGTGTAAAAGGAGACTAAAATCAGAACTTAACGAATAGGTCTCTGTTTAGAGTTGAGTGGGGGAAAGTGGGGCCTTGGTGGACAGATTGTTGTGCGGGTAAAATGAAATGCACAGGAATACCAACCCCTGGCACTGCGCACACCTTTGTTGTCACAAGCTGTTGCTTTTGTTTTACCCATCACGAACTGCCTGGAAGAATGCCTCCAAACTCCCACAAATCCAGTCAGAGATCACAGAGTGCAGACAGGGTAGGAGAGAAAGGCTGGGGAGAGCTGGCTTTTCATAGATCCCAGGTACGGGCTGTTTTCATCCAGGAGGGCCTCAGCTTCCGTACGGAGACTCGGGGGGCCTAGACCTCCCCTTTCCGGTCTGTGGCTGGACAATCTGAGCATACTCTCATAGCTGGGCCTACTAATGTTAGGATCACAGAGCAATGAGAGCCTTCTGATTAGAGGGAGATATAGCTAACAACGGGAGCTGAGGACCAGGAAAAGAGAGGGAGGGAAGAAGGGAGGTAAGCAGTTGCAAAACTCTCCAGCTAACTGTACCAGTCTGAAGGGATTCCAGAAGTGACCACCAGGCCACATGGTTCATCATGCTGGCTCTATTTGCAGATTGGTCTTTCTTTGCAAGCATAGACTGGCTGCTTGGACCTACATTGTGTCAGCCTGTGAAGCCACTGTCCTTCCCAGCTGAGCTGTAAAACTGGGACGGGCGGGGGAGGGGGATGCCGGGGGTACCCAGCCAAGCTTGGTAGCTTGCACCTGTATTCCCAGCTCCTAGGAGCTTGAGGTAGGAAGGTTCCAACAAATCAAGAACTGCCTAGGCAACAAAATGAGATGGGGAGGGGGTGAGGTGAATATGGCGCGAGCATGGGCATACCCTACTCCTAGCAGTTTGGGTCTAAGTCATTCTAGAGCGCTCCTTGTGCCCTGTATAACACCATGTTTAAAAGCAGCAGAGACCCAGTGAGCTGCTGCTGCTTGCATCCCAGCTGACCGCCTATTGGCAACCTGGCCTTTCCTTCTGCCAGCTGTGGCTTTTCTTCAGTGGGCACTCTATATTAGAAGTTACCCAGAATGCCTTCCTCTGGCATTGTGGCATAGGAGAGGGACAGCCTCATTTGGGAACATGGAGATCAGAATTGCTTTACACCTCAGTTCCCAGGGAAGGATCTAGCCCTGCTAACCTTTTTGGGTTGGCACAAGCCCATACCTTGCACCACAGGCTGTGTGAAGTCAGGACTATCTGTGATGTGATAAATGCTGTGTGGATCATTGGGCCAGGAACAGGGGCATGGGGACTGGACTGCATCAAAGAGGGAATTCAGGGAACCACTAGAACAGGACTCACCCACTGTACACATTAATGTAAGGTGCAACTCTTCCAAAGTGACAGTACCCAGAACCCACCCAGAACAGCTGGAGCCAGAATCCCTGTATGGGGCATGAGGAGTGAATCTAAGGTATAGCCTGGGTTGAGAACCACTGCACCAGCCCAGTCTTCCATCTTCCAAAGAGATTCTGAGTCACAGGAAGGTACAGTGCCTCTCCCAAGCCACAAAATGGGGCAGACCAAACCCTACCACTGCCACTGCGGCCACTGCTGCCACCACCGCCACCACTCTGTGCACACTTAGCCAGCAGGCTTCTAGATGGCTCTAAGGTTTTTTCTGTCCTTTCTTTGCTGGGTGGCTTCGTGGCAGGAGAGGGCTGTTCTGATACATGCCATGAGGGGACTCACAATGGAGTTGTTGAGAGATATCCAGACTTCCCCGCTCCTCACAATCCTTTCCTCACCAGTCTCTCGGGACTCTCTCTGGAGTTGGGCCTTCTGAGGTCTGATCTTCTCAACATAGCTCCCTCTCGCTTTCTCAGGAGCAGATGGTTGTGGACACCACCCTACGAAAGACAAAGACTTTATAGTGATTTCCAATTCCTGAAATCCAGGGGTATTTTTTTGGTTCTTTAGTAACACATCCTACCCTAGACCAAGATTCAGGCATGTGCCCCCTCAGTATTGAAAGTGCCTTGAAGAATCTGATACTCTGTAGGTTATGGGTTTAGCATCCCCAGTTGTGAGGCTTGGGATACTGAAAAATGTGATAGAAGGTGGTTGTGTGTTCCATCAGGGTATAGCAAGACACAGAGCTCCAAGTAAGGAAGGGCAAAAGAGGTGGACTAACGTATGGGCAGAAGGCTTGGATAGATGCCTCACCAGAGAAAATGCTCAGGTGCCAGCAAGCAGGGGAAAGGCTGGATATCTCTGCACACCAGGGAAATGCAAACCAACATCTCAATTCGATACCACTCCGGACCCATGAGAATGACTCTTAGCTATTGTGGACATGCCTCAGAAAAGCACAGCTGTCTATAACGATATACAGAAGTTGGAACACTGCTGGATGGCTGGTTGAGATGTAAAATGTCTCCACAGCTATGGAAAACACTGTAGGGGATCTCAAACTCTACATATATAATTAACATATGATCCTGTAGTCCCACTTCTGGGAGTATTTCAACATGAATTGAGAGCAGGGACACAACCATATCTACACACTCAATGTTCATAGCATTGTTCATGACAGCCATGGATGTCCATGGACAAATGAATGCACATACGCTACAGTATCACTCAGCCTTTAAAAGGAAGGAAAATCTGATACCAGATTACATCATGGACAGTCCTTGGAGACATTATGCAAAGTGAAATAACCCAGGCACCGAAACAAATACTCTATTATTTCACTTATATGACATACTTTGAATAGCCAGCTTTACGTAGGCAAAAGGCAGAATGGTCATTCCCAAGGATCAGGGAAGGGAGGGAATTAGTCAATTAAATTGCTCAGTGGGTGCAGTTTCAGTTTCACAAGTTGGGAGACTTCTGGAGATATCTTGGTTGTACAACATACTGAACACACGCTTTATTCTCTTGTGTTAAACACCTTTTAAAGTGAATGTGTCTAAGTCCAGAACAGTATTGCTTAAAAATAGAGTAGATTATTTAAAGTTAGCCCTGGATTCTTGTGCCCAGGCTCCAAAACCCAATCTAGGTCTCTGTTTACCTTGATATCCGGGATATGCCTGTGTGCCTTCTTTTGGCTGGGTCTGGTGTTCGGAAGAAATGTAAAGAGATGACTCTCTGGGTGAAATCAACCCCTGTGTGTCCAGAGAGCCTGGAGCAAAGGGTAGTGGCTCTGGTGGCCCTGGCTGGATACAGGCAGTTCTAACTCTTGGACTTACCTGGTGGTTTCCACTGTCATTACCATCTGAGCTCAGGATACTTCCTTGGGCTGTGGATAAAGGCCACCAGTGACCTGAAGACACTGAGCAAGGCTGTGGTAGTT